ATGTTATTTGACTAAAGTATTTTGAATTACTGTGTATTGTAAGGAATTCAATAGAAGGATATACAGAGGGGTTTATACGACATGTAAAAATGATCCATATCAGTTTTTAGAGTTCAAGCGGTATGCTTAAAGCAACTTTCTTGTTTTCTTTCATGAAGAGACAGATTCTTGTAACAGAATCTCAATAATTTACTACTAAACAATGAATAAACATACTCGAATTCTCCAACAGTATTTCCATGATTTATTATTTATATTATTGTTGCTACTAGGCATAAGAAGTAGTCGTGGCCGAGTGGTTAAGGCGATGGACTAGAAATCCATTGGGGTCTCCCCGCGCAGGTTCGAATCCTGCCGACTACGAGGATGTCTTTTTTTTTTTTAATCAAATCTGTCTTCTCTCATTTCCACTTTAACTGCTTGTTTCAAGCAAGTGTATCTCAAACTCAGGGAGAAAGCAGCAAGATGCTGCATGGTGAATCTGTTTACTCCACCGATCTCTCAGTCTGAAAGTCATTAAAGAAGTAGGCTTGGAAAAGGGCCAGATGGCAGGCTCCATGAAGGATTAAAAAGACACCAGCTTAGTCACTTTTAATATGTTCTCCAGCGTCTGACACAGTACTTTGCACATATTACTCGATGAATACGTTTTTGATTAATTTCATTCGACAAGTATTTCTGTCCTGGGACAGGCAGTTTCCAAGCCTGCAGCCTAACACTACTCTGACTGGAGGTTTAATTACTCTCCCTTCTTCTAAGAGTTCTTTCCGCTCCCAGTTTTATGTCCCCACCCCTCAACTAGAAAATCAAGCACTGTAACTTCGGAAACTTACTTTTCTCTTAATTTCAGGTTGCTGTGGAGCCTCCAGCAGAACTGAGTAGACAAAGTTTACATCCAGAACACAGAATACCCAAGGCATTTAAATGCCCCAAACCTGAGGGGACTGACGGTCAGAGAAGAGGGATTTTCCCCCCTCAAAGACTGCATTTTATGTATGAACTTGGTCTGTATGATATGTCTGAACTTCACTGAGATTGATGACTCCCCCGATTCGATAGAAGAAAAACCAAGCCAACAACTATAATATATAGTCTGGAATCAGGACACCAGGAGGGCAAAGATATATATTTGTTTTTCCGGTAAGAATATTGTAAAAAACAAACAAACAAACAACATTTTATTTGTTTATTTGTAGCTCTGAAGTGTAGCTGTAGCACCTGGTTATATGTGCCCTCCTCAATACTGCCCCTCCCAACTAGAAGGGGTCAGGTCAGAAAACTCCCAGTGACAAGATCCTCATGGATCTGGACCTCCTTCCCTTGTCCTCCTCTGTCATTCTTCACTCACTCTGCCTTCCTCTTATTAAAGACTGGGGCGAGAGGAACTGCCTAGTCTCTGGGACTGTTCTGGCTACCAGGCCGAGAGTTACACCAGATGAATACAACCAATAGAAAAGAAAGGCAGACTCCCACTCTCTGGCAGACTTCAGATGCAATTCAAATTCTGCCCTTGGGAAGCTAAGCAATGAAACATGCAGAATAAAAAGACTCCTTGGCCCCTAAGTCGTATCTCATAGATTCTGTGAAATATAAAACTTTTTCAAAGTCATCCTGAATCGTCTTCTGCAGCCTCCACGCTCTGAGGCAGCACTTAGTCAGTCGTGTTGAGCAAAGTACCGGGAATGAAACTCTATGTAAAAGAATCATGATTTACAAAAGCTACCACCAAGTTCACAAGGAAAAAGATCAGGTAATGGGGGATCCAAAACTCTAAGGCAGGCTCCCAACCTGGGGTCCATGAACTTGTTTTTCAAAAACTACTTTGATAACTGCATTTCTTAGTTGCTAAAACCAATATCATTCCTCATTCTCCTCCATCTCATAGGCCTTTGACAATGTTCATCATCTTCTTCTTGATACTCTCTTCTATCTAGTTTTTCTTCCTCTCAGTTCTCCTCTTCTCCATCTGATGACTGACCCTTGTGAATGTCCTTTGGGGCATCCTCCTCTAGATCACAACCTCTAACCACAGGATTCCCACAAGGCTCTGTCCTGGGCCTTCTTCTTTTCACCCCCTTACTTCACTTGGTGATGTTATCAGCGTCTATGGATTTAATTACCATCTCTATGCTGATATTCTCAACTTTACCTATGCTGCCCTAAGGTCTCTGCGATTCTCCAATCTATGAACTCCAACGGCCTTTCAGACATTTCCCACTATCCAGTAGACATCTTAACTCATGTCCAAAACCAAACTCCTCTTTCTCCCTCTATCTTCCCCCCCCCCCACCACCTTCCCTATTACTGTAGAGGGCTTTCCAAAAATTTGGTCCAAAGAACAAATAGAATGGGATTTCCCTTTATTCAAGAACAAACAGAATGGGGTTCACACAGAATCTACATGTGCTATAAATGTGCTTATTTATTCTCATTAAGCCAGAATCATGTATGACAGAGTTAGAAAATAATTCTGAACTCAGATGTAAACAAGCTGAAGGAGACCCTTTATACACTTAGAACAATCCCAACTCAGGATGCCTGTGTCATCCCCAAATTATAGTCCCCATATTCATTTAAACCATAATGTGAGAAAGGAATTTTGTAATGGGATAGGTTGTAAATACAATAAGATAAGAGAATGTCAAGGTGTCAAGTGAAATTAGAGATCCAGGATGTCTATATTTCTTTTATCATCAATATGACATAAGAAAACATAGGAAAAGTCCCATTATTCAAGATAGTGTCAGTTCAAGTCACCTTGTGTTTGGTAGTCATAAGCAGAAGAATTTTCACTCCTGGTCAGTGTCATTTGGCTTTGTAGTTGCTGACACAGGAAGGGGCATTTTGGGTTCACTCAGAGAACAAAGCAAAGCATGCCTCTTATACCAGAGCACAGAAATTATTATGGTAGGTTAATCTCAGAGTGGGCCAGATATGTCTTTCTCCTGATTAGCCAATCCAGGTTTTAGGCCTTTCTCAGGTGAGGAGGGCCCCAAAATCATTCACAAGGGGAATGCCATCCCTAGTCTTGAAGGCTCACAACTTAAGAGTTCTCCTGGCCTCCTCACTATCTTTCACTGCCCCATATCCAATATGTTGCCCAGGTCTTTTGCTGTCTATTTTGCAACATCTTTCCAATATATTCTCTTCTCTCTTTTGACACTGCTACTACTTCAATGTAGGGCCTTATTACCTCATACCTGAACTATTGCAATAACCTGTAGGTGGATCTATCTATTTCAGTTCTCTCCCCACTCTAATCCACTCTCCATTCAGCCACCAAAGTGATTTTCTTAAAGCATAGGTCCAACCCCTACCCTGTGGCTCCCTAAGACCTCTAGGATCTACTTTTTCACTTTGCTCAGCTTCATACCCTCTACAACTTACCTACACTCGTGTCCTCAGTAGTCCCTCGAACAGGGCACACATTCCTACTCCATGCATTTTCACTGACTCCTTCTCACTGTCACCCATGCCTGGTATGCTCTACCTTCTCACCACCATCTAATCTAGATTCGCCAGCTTCCTTTAAGACTCAGCTCAAATTCTACCTTCTGCTGGAGGCCTTTTGCACCCTCCCCCCCCAACTCCTGGTGCCTTTTGCCTTTCATTTACTTTGTATTAACCATGCATACATATGTATGTATGTATATATGTATGTATGTATGTATGTATAGGTATTTGCATATTGTTTCCCCTATTAGAATATGAGTTCTTTCATGGCAGGGACTGAAATATACATTTGCCTTTCTTTTTATCCCCAATCCCCAACACTTAGCACAGTGCTGAGGACATAGTCAGCTTTTAATAAATGCTTGTTGACTAACTGAAGACAAAGGAAGAAAGGGGGAGATCAGGAAGAGGAAGATTGGGGTAGATGAGAAGAAAATAGAGGAGGTTATATGTAAAGAAGGGAATGGGATGAAGGAAAAATGCAAGAGAAAAAATGAATAAATGATGAATGGAAAAAACACTCATTAAGAACTAATTTTGTGACAAGCACTGAGTTAAGTGTTGGAAATACAAACAGGAAAGTAAAACAGTCCCTGCTTGCTCTCAAGTTGTTTTACAGCACATTTATACCGGACTTGTGGATAGGGAAGTGCTGTTTCATTTTGGGAAGTGACAAAGAATGAGGAGGAGAGCCATAGGGAAGATGACTGACACATACTTTTCAATAACAAAGTCAGAATTTTGCTAGGCCCACGATCCAGAAATGGATGAATCAGAGCTATAAACCAGCTCTGGGGAGAGTTGCAGATTGTGAAATAAATGCTACATTTTTCTGAGAATCAACTTTTGTACTAACAGATGAGAATTCTACCATTGAACCAGTAACAGGGAGAAGGGATCTCTGCCAAACTAATTTCTTTGTGAACTGAGTTTTCCACTCCCCTTCACGTCATTGAATAAATGAAAGCACAATAATACTTGTATACACCATTTTATAGCAGCGTGGAATGTAAATAAGTGCGCTGAACCAAGACTCCTTCCTTCTTGTTTCTGTTGTTGCCACTCACTAATCAGTCATTTTCCTTCATCTGTAAAAGGAGACAGCTGTACTAAACGACCTGAAATTCAATAAACTAGCAGTTCATGGCTTTAGGCTCTTTACCGAAGCAGTTTTGGTGCAAATAAGTTGTTGTAGCCTGAGATAAATCCTAGAAGCTACTACAGGAAATGGCGTGTTATGTGAGACCTTGCGCCTCCCGCAGTTGGAGGAATCGTATCTCATCCGAAGCTTATTTATTAAGAGTAAAATGCAGATACTATCCCTGTTTACTTGTTCGTGTCTCCATTTTCATCTTTCTCGGGAGAAACTTTACTGAAAATACGATTCTGGAAATAAAAGGAAATATTTATAAAAAAAATTTTCTTATGAGGAATGTCTCTTTGGAGGGGCGGGTACTTAATTATACACTCAAACTAGATATTGGTTGTTAGAGCCAAAAGGGGAGGGGAAAAATTTTTCCCGCCCAGCGTGTGAGGTTTTCAAACAGGTCGGACCCTCGGCTATATAAATGAGCACAAGCTAGTGGTTGCTTCACAATTTATCTGCGATCTATCTGTCGCTATGTCTGGTCGGGGCAAAGGCGGCAAGGGTTTGGGCAAAGGGGGTGCCAAGCGGCACAGGAAGGTGCTCCGCGATAACATCCAGGGTATCACCAAGCCTGCCATCCGCCGTCTGGCCCGGCGCGGCGGCGTCAAGCGTATCTCGGGGCTCATCTACGAGGAGACCCGCGGCGTGCTGAAGGTGTTCCTGGAGAACGTGATCCGGGACGCCGTCACCTACACCGAGCACGCCAAGAGGAAGACGGTCACTGCCATGGACGTGGTCTACGCGCTCAAGCGCCAGGGCCGGACGCTCTATGGCTTCGGAGGCTAAATTTCTATATCCCTAGCAAAATAAAGGCCCTTTTCAGGGCCACACACTTTTTCCTCCTAATGACTGTAGCTCTTGTCTCATTTGACTTTCGGTTTACCCAGGTTTCTTAGTATGTGTGCTGTTTGGTTTTGGGGTTTTTTTTTTTTGTAATTATGTCGTAGAACAAAGAGTTTGATTGTATGCTAACGACTAGTGCCAAACCTACTGGGGGGCCCTAACATTTAAGTGGCTTAATAAAGCCCAGTTTTAGCTTTTATTTCTTAGACAAGAGTCAAGAAAGAACAGGTTTGTTATTCAGCTATCATTTACAGAATACAATGCGTTTTACCAAGCAGGGATGCAGTAATTCAGGAAAGCTAAGCGTGCTAGTGGACCAGAAGGGATACTGCATGAACCAATAGATTTCAGATCAGGGAGGAACGATATGGCCTCTACCCAATCAAGAGACATCTGGGCAAAAGAATACAGGCCGCTACCTAAATTAGTGCTCTGCTCTGGATATCTGAAAATCGTTCCCAGCGAGGGAAAACCAGAAATTCCTATCAATAGGCTTGAATTTGTTTATGAAAACAGGTAAGTGACTAACCTTGGGCCTTAGTTCAGCTAGAAAAGAAGAGGGCTGAAGTAAATTGTAATGTGCTACCAGTCGCTAAATTTGTAGCATTGAAGCGCCGTGGAAAGACTAATGCCTTGGAAGGATTTCATGGAAGGATTTCACAAGCTGCTGAATAGGGAGATTTCATTTTACACGTCATTTGTATTTCGCTCAGTCTCTTGGCACAATGTTATATGAGACAGAAGAAACACCAATTCAATAACTAATACACGCTATCCCTCCCATTCTCCCCTGGCCCACCAATTGGCTTTTTCCGCTTCCTTTCCCAAGATCCTGTCCTTAAAAACAGAAGATACGCATTCTAATCTCCAAGAAAACAAATCCTTTCCTACCTGGTTGTTAGTGAGCTGGGGGGTGCAGATGTTTTACCTGAAGATAAAAGTTTAGGTTAGTGGGGGAAGAAGAGGGCTTATGAGCACAGCTTAGCCTCGTTCTCTTTTTTGTTACTTTTACCAGATAGAGCGGGGGAATGACTAACGTTCCGTGCTTAAAGAACAATGCAAGCAGATACATGCATAGAGGGCTGAAGACAGTTTGCCAGACAGAGGAGTTGAAACTTTCCTCGATAAACCAGGGAGCTTCTGAAAATTTTTGAGCAAGAGACGGACAAAAATGGATTCATGTGTACAAAAAAATAATATTCTGGAACTTTTAATTCTTAATTGTAGGGACTAGAGAGTAGAAATGGGAAGAAATGTTACGATCTGTCCTAGGGTAGAAAAGGGAGTAGAAGAAAGGGGATAGATAATAATAGCTATTTATATAGAACTTTACAAATGTTATATCACTTTATCTTCAGAACAACCCTGGAAGGCAAGTGCTATTATTATCCTTATTTTGTAGATGAGGAAACTGACCCTGAAAGAGTTGAAATGAGTTGCCCAGCTAGTTAGAACGACACAACTAGTAAGTGAACCTGATTTGAACTCAAGTCTTCCTGACTCTCTGTGCTCTACCCACTGTACAACCTAGCTGCCTTCTAAATGTAGGAGTACCTGGTTTCTAGAGGTTTGTGGAGGTGGTAGTGTTGTTTGGCTGTTTCAGTCATGTCCGATTCTCTGTGACACTGTTTGGGATTTTCTTGGCAAAGACACTGGAGTAGTTTGCCATTTCCTTCTGCATTTCACAGATGAGGATGAAGTGACTTGCCCAGGGTCACATAGCTAGTAAGTGTCAAATTTGAACTCAGGTCTTCCTGACTCCAGGGATGGGGAGGTGGTAACTGTCTTATGAGTTATAAGAGAAGAGTCAAAAATATAGCTTTCTGATTGTGAATATGTCAGTCTGAGTGAATGATAATGCCGCAGACAGAAATAGTCAAATCTGAAACATTTTGCCCACAATCTATTTTCCCTAGTACTTAAATTCAGTATGGTAACATGTAGAAAAGGCCCACAGGATCCTAGATAGAGTAGGATAAGACTTTAGAAATCATCTTGTCCACCTCTCCTTATCTTTCTAATGTGGGAACCAAGGCCCTGCTAGAACAAGTAAGCTGGAAAAGATCACAGGTACTGATCTTCAGATCCAGGTCCCCTTGGGGAGGAGTCGATGTTTGATTTTTGTGTTGGTAACTTTAATTCCTAGCGTAGTGTTTTGTACGTAGTAAGCACTTCATATTTTTGGGACTCAACCTATGTCCTCTGACTCCAAATATAGCACTCTTTTTAGAACACTGAGGAATACTTTTTTGGGGGGGCTGAGGGTAGGGAGCTATATGAGAACATTTGGATTTGACCATAGTATTTGAAGTGAGGGATGGGAGATAGAGAGAGAGGATCCAGGTAGAGATGTCCTTTTCAGTGTGTGAAGATAGGGATCAGGACTAAAGCGGATTTGTTGTACGTAATCTGGGTAGTTGAAGCTGTTTTGAAGCGAATTTTATATTGACAAGGGGTTGTGGAGAGATAAAAACCTTGGACTCCATTAGAAGTTGCTGTGGGGCCATAAGTTGACTTCCACAATTGATAATTTACCTTTATACAATGCATATTATACTATTTACAAAGAACTCTCATGTATGATCTCATAGAATCATGTAAGGGGGCAGTTTCCATGTGGCTTTCCAGACGAAAGAGTAGATCTCTACTGTTTCCTCCCTCCAGTTCAACAAACTAGCAGCTAAGCCCAGTTGCTAATTTCAGGGACCATAGTGCTTTTGTATGCTTCAGCTTGCCTTACTATTGTATCACATATCAATTAATCCAGTTAATGTGATGGTATCTGCAGCAATGGGGATCCTGAGAAGAATAACCCCACTGAATCCATGGCAAACTTCCAAGAGCAGCCACAATGCCATCCTGGGAAAGGAGAAAAGAATTAGGCAGTAAGATTGTGATGCCAGGAGAGGGTCAGGATGGAGGGGAAGAATGGGCCACAGAAGTGAACAGGAACATGCAGTGTAGAAAACCAACAGGTTTCTCCGAGGGAGAATTTCTGCCCTCTCCACCAATGACAGGAGAGTCCTGTTCCAATGGGCTTTGAGGGTCAGGTGACAGTCATAATAGGAACACTGGCACAGGCAGCATAGCTATTAGAAACTGCTATTTGTAATATTCCTTGGAGTTCACTTGTCCCAGTCCCCTCAGTTTATAGATAAGATGAGAATGAAGATGATTTGTGTGCCGAGTTTGGAGACAAGCAAATTCTACATTACTTTGGCAGAACTCTATGATGTGTTTGTATCTGAAATTCACATGGAAACAAAATACTCGCCCAGCAGTCAATGCCAGTTTGGAGAAAGGCAGTGGAACCAGCTCTTCACTGGGCATGGTACTTAGCACTGCACTAACACAATGATGCCCTTTTGTGTATCTCTACCCTAGCAAGGCGGGAGGGCGCTGAGAAAGGTTTGTTCCATGTGAAATAAGAACCTTCTCCTTTCCTTCCACCCTCCAACATTCTCTGTAAAATGTCCATTCTGGTTATAAAATCCTACTTCTGACATTAATGGTTTGGCTGGACTCAAGATTTCACCAGAGAATTAGACTTATATACAAATTTGGGCAAAACGAAAGTAAATTTACTCAAGTGATAGTGCTCAGAAGAGGGGACAGAGAATTTCTGGGCAAAGTTTCCTCAAGAGCCCTTGAGCAGCATCAGGTCACCCCCTCCATTGGCCTAGTACCTCTGAATTGAGGAGAGATCTTTATGATCCACATGGGTGTGTCACCTGTATTTTTTTGCAACTAGACTGAAGAACTCAAAATCAAAACAGGACATACTCAATTTATACTTCTCTCGGACAAAGCTGACTGTCATCCAAACACCATATAAATAGAGAGTTTAAGTCAAAGATGGTTACATCTTTGTAAGGGTTATAAACTTTACAATCTATGTAAAGATTTTTTAAAAAGTCAGTCAATAGATATTTATTAAACACCTACAGTGTACCAGGCACTGTGCTAATCACTGTGCTGATACAAAGTGTTTTTGAGATGTTTTAGGCTATAACTGATCCCAGATTGAGCCTGCTTATCATAACTTTATTTCTCCATGTTCTGTACTTCATGCCCAAGAATGTGCTCTTGGAACATTGTAGGATACTGTTTTGCTTTCTGTGAGTTACCTAACAAGTGAGAGTTCAAGATTACTTCCCGTTATTATTCTCTTTCCTGCTTCTTCCAGATACAATGAATGAAAAGCACCAGCCTTGTTGGTTTTATATGCTGCATGTTCCTGTTCACCTCTCCGGCCCATTCTTCCCCTCTCTCCTGATTCTCCTGGTATCACAATCTTCTTGCTTTATTCTTTTCTTTTTTCCCAGGATGGAAATATATCTGTTCTTGGAAGTTTGCCTTGAGTCCAGTGGGGTTATCCTTCTCAGGACCCCCATTGCTGCAGATACCATCATGTTAACTGGAATAGTTGATATGTAATATAATAATAAGGCAAGCTGAAGCATATAAAACCACTCTGATTCCTGAAATTAGCAACTGGGCCCAGCTGATAATTCATTGAACTGATCTGTATCTCTCCAGAGAGAAGCTAACAATATCATTCTATGGCATCTCCCAGAATTTTAGCCTGCAGACATTAATATGCCCTGGGTAATGGTGGATAGTGCCTTGGATTTTTACAACATGGCCTGTGCTGTTTATTTTGATAAAATGCCCTAACCCATGATACCACAAAATGGTAATTATGGCTGTCCACTCCCTTGCTTTATACAAAACTATGATCTGAAAACACAAGTTGATTCAGAACAACAACCTATGATATGGGATAAGGTAGAGAGCCACAGGGGTTATATGAAATAAATTGCTATTTGAGCTGACTTTATTGTGACCTTGCTGATGAAAAGCATTCATTTAAGCTTGAGGCAAGTGGGAATGGGGATTCTATAACCTTGGGAAAAGTAAGGCCTTATGGAAAAATGTCAGTCAACAATTGGACATTATGTAGCAGGTAGAACAGCTCTTGTGGACCTTTTGTTGTCATTCAG